CTCACATATATATAATATATTCTATATATATATATATATATATATATATATATATATATATATATGATCCCGTTACAATTGATTCATATGTTAAGGAGTATATGAAGAGAGTATTTTCTCTTCTAGGAAAGTCTTTTCCATGGATATGATTAAAAATCGATTGAATTAACGTACTTAAAAATTTTAGTTATCTACTAACTTGAACTTTGTTGGTAATTTTGAAAGTTAAATACACAACAAAATAATAGCTTAATGATGAGACCCACTTTTATACAAGATTACAAGTTATATAAGTCTTACTTAATAATTACTTTGCATTTTTTAAAACATATTTTTATATCGACAAGATAAATAAAAAACAAAAATACGAAGATACAGATCCCGACTTTTCAGATTCAATAATATTGATGGCACACTACTAGAAGTGCCAGAACAGCAAAACTGAATTATATAACTCTAGTGGTGTTTCTATTTTTATTTTTTAATTGTTTATTTGAGGAGTCCAACAGTGTTCATTTTAAAAAACTGCAAAAAGTGAAGAATATATATGATATGTATCCTTTCCTGTACATAGTTTTCAAATATACACAAATATGTGAATGTGAAATGGTTAAAAAAATAAATTTAACCCTCATCTTTATTTTGTGTGTTTATCTCTTCTGTCATAAAACTTCAGTATTAAAATTTCACTACCGGATACACACTCAAAACTGAGTTATATAAGTGCAACAGTATATTTTGATCATAAATATGATAAATCGTAAGCTTGAATTACTATCATCGATTTAGCGGTGGAATTGGAGTGGTATAGATAACATCTTAAGTTTAAACATTGTAGCATGTTATTATAATCTTTCCTACATATGAAAGAAAAAATAAAAAATTTATTAAAAGGTCGGATATGTGTTTGGAATCAGTGTTTAAAAACCGGATCGAACCGGCTGGTCGGACCGGTTGGACCAGGAAACGGTGGTCTAGCCGGTCCGAATCTTAAGTTAGATCGGTTATGCAGTCGACCCGTTTTAAACTGAATTAAACCGGTAAACCGGTGGGTCAAACCGGTTCAACTACTTTTTTTTCTTTTTTTTTTTAAATTTTTTTAAGCGACCATAAACCACAAAAATAATAATAATAATTGAATCTCTTAATGAAAGAACAAAGATTCTTATTAAATATAACAATGACTACTTATTTTAATATATTTGTTTATATAATATACAACTTAAATAACTTTTATAGTATATTATTAATTTTAAATTATATATTTAATAATATAATATCTATGTAGATATTACATATATTATTCTGTGATATCAATTACAAGCATATTATATATGTACATATTATTTATATTTTAAATTTGTATTAATATACAGTTTAACATGTAATTTTTTTTAATTTTTTTACAAAATAAAAATAAAAATAAAAATAATTTTAAATAAGATAAAAAAAATTGAAATTTAAAATAAGATATGGATTTATTAAATTTTATAAGTATAAAATATATTTAATATGAATATTTTTTAATAAAAATAAATAAAAATCAAGTCATGTGGTTCAACTAATAGTGATCCACCGGTTCAATCTTTGACCCACTGATCCAGTACCTTAACCGGTTCGATGACCGGTCCGGTTTTTAAAACTATGGAATATTCAGCCATTAGATGGCTCGATACATGTTTTGAGATATTTGATTGTAAGGTCGGATATGCAATTGGGATATTTGACTTGTTAAGAAACCATATACGTTTTAGTGTTTCAACATATTATGAGGTTGAATACGTTTTAAGGTATAAATATAATATACGTGTGAAAAAGTAGATTAATATTATTTCTTTCCATCTCTCTCGTCTCACGTGTCTTGTTTTCCCCAAAATGAAAAAGTCTTTTTGGTATATCATATTTACGGGAGAAATTGGATTGAGTGTAGAAAAATAGTGCTGAAATTAAAAATTGTGCATTTGATTGGTGAGATATAAAGAGAAAGCAAAGAAATATGAGTGAGCTCCATAATATATAATTTCATCACAAAAGTGAATGGAAAATGCAACAAAAATGGGAATTATATGAAACAAAAATACAAAATCAATAAGTTAAAATAGTTAAACTGATTTTTCATTTTACAAGTTATAATAATTATTTTTTATAAATATAGAAAAGATTACAAAGATGGTTACTGTTATAATAATTGTATTTTAAAGTTTTCATGCACATTAAAATGATAATAATAAATATATCATTTTTAATATATTTTTACTAAAATAACTCCACTCTTTTAATAAATATATTATTTTTAATAGTGACATTTGAATATCTAATAAATGAATAAATTAAAAAAGTTAATATTACATAAAAAAAATGAAAATATAAATTACTTGGGGATAACTTTTAAATGTTAAAATTGACGTTAATTTGATATGGTGAGAATATAATGTGACGTTATTTTTAATAGTGACATTTTGATTTTGAAAAATGTGATCCTTTGCTTCCAAGTTTGAATGTATGGTTCGTAAGAAGTCCATTTATTAAAGATAAATCATAGGAAAAGAAAGTTAATACTCGTACTAGAACTTCCTACTTCCTAGGAAATGAAAATACCTTACTAAAAAGAGCAGTAAAAGGTTTTAAATAGTACAGCGTACCTCATAAAAAGCAGAAATTTAGAATTAGGTTAAAAATGAAGGAGCAGCAGGATAATAGAGAGAGCAATGGATGGAGAAGAAAGACATAAAGGGTGTAATAAAGGCAATTTCCAAGTCACCAACCATGGAAAGCTGTAAAATAAATTTGTGCACATAACCAATAGGCACGAAACGTAACGCTCTGGCTTTAATCTGCCACTTTAATTTATTGTGCAAAGTCGCAGTAGGTGCAATGCTTTATTGGGAAGGGAGAAATTCCAAACCACTAGAGGAAGACAGGCACAAACAAACACATTTATTTTTTAGTTTTCCTTTCATCTCTTTTTCTTTCCAAGAATCACCAACATTCGGAAACCCAAAAATACAAAAACACATAGTTCCCAATGACTGCAGAGAGAACCGAAACAAGACAGTGTAAGCATAATAAACACAAAATAAGCACCAAGACAAGAACATGAACCCATCCCAAAAAAAAAACAAAAAAAAAACAGAAGGGGGTACATCAAACGAAAGCAACAAAGTCACGTGACTAGTGATGGATGTCAGCGTGCAAATGATCAATCTGATCTGATCATAAAACTTCCAGCATGATGTGAGATGATGGCATGGATATAAATAGAAGTCGTAAAAGTGCATGAGTTATTGTTTTTTCATCTGTTCCAGCAAGTATGATAGGGAGACTCAAGAGGTGCCATTTTTCTTTGCAAGTAGAGGTCTTTATAGAAGTTTTGAATGAATTGTTCGGCGGCGACGTCGACATAGGTATCAGTATCTCCTTGGTCCGTTAGAGGGAAGGGGGAATCCGTGACCCGAAGTTGTTTCCCAATGGGGCTGTTTCGGAAGGCTGGGAAGGGGGAATTGGTGTTGAAGGGGATGGAGGGGGCGGAGAGAGGGCGGTTGTTGCGGCGTTTGAAGGGGATGGCGGGGCTGTTGCTGCAGCTGAACTCGTAGTCGCGTGGGGAGATGAAGGTGTTGGCGTTGCCGTGGGAGCGGAAGGTGAAGAAGGGCATGTAGTAATGGTGGTTGTTGAGTAAGGCCTTTTTTCCGCGTTTGAGGAGAAGGTTGAAGTCGGCCATTATTTTGCTCTTGGCTATGCCCTTTCGCAGCATGAAGAACATGAGTCGCATGATGCTCCACAGCTTCTTTGCCACCACGGGACTGCTTCCCTCTATTTCCATTTGGAGTGATTGGAATGTGTTTTGGTGCGCAATAGGCGAAAGGGGTTACCAGCTATTTAAAGTGGACGACTCAACACTTCTTTAACCCTCTTCAATCTTCATACATACTCTTCCATTTCTTTTTAACTGTTTTGCTTTCGAGTAAAAAATCATTTACATTTATTTTCTCTTTTTCAAATTTTAAGATATCATTTATTATTTTATGTAAATTAACTTTTTATTAATTTATACATTCACAATTAATATTTTTTTATTATGAACGTAAAATGAAAGATAATGTAATAAGAAAATTTGATAAAAATAAATAAACTAATTTATTATATTTCTTAATTTTTGTTTAAAATTATCATAAAGAAATGGAAGTTGAATTTATACAACTTTTTTTTACGAAACTTATAAAAAATATTATTAATGTAGTAGTGATTCAAAATTTATTATTAAGTTGTATATTACATTTCTTTTTTTACATTTCTTGACCAAGGAAACTGGTTAAGAGGAGGAAAAAAAAGTATATGGCATTTCTTAAGCATGGAGATCTAACTCAAGTCGATTAAGTAGGATGTATGAGTTGATATAAATTTGTTAATGAATCCAATTAAAAAAATCATATATCTTAAATAAATATCAAAACGTTTTTTTTTTTAAATAAAAATAAAAGATTGATTGGGGG